GGGGGCCGCCCCCGGCCGGGTCCCCGCTGCCCGCCTCACGGTGTCCGTTTCTGCCCCGCCCAGGCCATGTCCAAGTCGCTGAAGAAGATCGTGGAGGAGAGCCGGGAGAAGAACCAGCCCGAAGTGGACATGTGCGACCGCGGCATCTCCAACATGCTGGACGTGCCCGGCCTCTGTAGGTACCGGCGGCGGCGGCGGGCGGGGAAAGCGCGGAAACTTCCTTATTTGTCCCGGGAGGAGCCGGGGCCGCTGCCGGCCCTGGGCGCGGGGGGGCGGCCCGGCCCGGCCCGGCTGCCGCCCCGGCCCCTCGGCGGCGCGGGGCTACCCGAGCCTCTCCTGTGTCGGGGGCGTCCCGGGGCTTTGGGCATCGGGGCCCTGGGGAGAGGTTCGTGGGCGGGGGGAAGCGCTCCGCTCCCAGCTGCCGGCAGCGGCACGGCCAGCCGGCAGCGCCTTCGGGAGAGGCCCCGCTCCGCTGCACCGAGAGGCCGGCGTGGGGAGCCGGGGCTGCCTCCCGCCTCTGCCGTTCCCGTCTCGCCGCTGTCATTCTGGCCCGCGGGTGGCGGGGAGACTTCGCCTCCTGTCCGTCTCGCCTCTCCCTGCTACGGAAGCAGAAACGCCGCCAGCCCAGCAGCATCTCCGCTGGACTTTGAAAGGGATGGGGTGACGTTAGCCTGGAGCTAGGCACGGCGGGTCTCTGAAGGAGAGTAAGGTAATGCTGTATTACAAATACAGTAATACCGTACTTTGGATATTGCGTGACTGCATGTGTTCTCCAGAACTGTGACAAGTACGTCGTTACTGGTATGCTGCATTTGCTGTAACTAGCTTACAGCAAATGCAGCATACCGGTAACGGCATACTGTCACAGTTCTGGAGAGCACATAGATGAAGAGCAAGGGAGGTAACTTTGCCTTGCGAGTGTGTATGATGTTATAGTACAGCTGATAGGCAGCAAGTTAAAGTTGTAACTGGCTGTGGCATGCCACAGGCTGAAATTTTTCTGAATGCATGATGTAATGAGGAAAAAGCAAAATCTAAACCAACATACTTGAAATGCTAACCATGTCCTGGTTTAGCTCTTTACTATGTTTGTTAAACTTGATAGCAACCGGGAGCAAGTGTACATAACTCTTACATGATGGAAATAAGTTCAGGGAAATGTATGGCTAGCTACAAACTCACCATTGTCTGCAGAGTCAGGAGCAGACCGAAGTTTCTTCAGTCGTATCAGTAAAGGATGAAGACTTAAGTACAGAACCTAGTTCTGCAAAATTCTGTGCTTAAGTCTTCATCCTTTACTGATTCTTTTCCTGCTTATGAGTTGTGCATGGGATTTCTGGAAGATTACATTGTAAAGCCCAGGTATATGAACTCCTGTTAAATAGAAAGCTTCACTGTATTTCTATTGGATGAAGAGTTGTTTGAGACAAAGTAGTGTTTAGCTCACATTAACCACAGACCCATTTTCAGAACTATACTTAGCCCTTTCAGATAAACTAATGCGTTAAGAGTATGGGACAGCAACAGAGTACTGTTGCTTTTGTTAAATAGACTTGCTGCCTGTTATCAATACTAAGACATGTAATTAATTAGCCACCTTTGATCTTTCTTTCAGGTGGGGGGAAAAAAGGTAATTTTGAAGCACATCAGTAATGCTGAAGTAAAAAAAGCTTTTCTTGTACAAAGACTGTTTTGGCTTTGTTGTGCAGGCAGGGTCAGGGACCAAAATGTGGGACTGTGGTTCACAGGTGGTCCCTGGTACTGAGTTGCTAATTAAGCATCTGGAGCTTGTTTGGCAGGGAGCTCCCTACATGAAGCGTAGACTTGTGGTACCCTAGTTACACTGCTTCAGAGAAGTCTGTATGCAGATACTTTTGGTGCACATCGTGTGAATTGATTTAGCATGGGGATTTGGGGCCTTCAGTTTGAGATGGAAGTTAGCAGAGGGAGGAATGATGACTGGTTTCTGTCCAGTTAATTGAGACCTTCTTGCTTTTTCAGTTAGTCTGCACTCTGGCAGAGAAGGCTTAAGTTGGGTGTTTTGGTGGGCTTTTTTTTGCCTTTTTTTTTTTTGTCATCAAGGTATTTGCTACTTTCCATCTGCAGAACCAATAACTTCCTCCAAATATGCCTGTTAAAAAAGTAATGGATAGGTATTACCTCTGAATTTTAGGTAATGATTTGAGAAAATGTTAAACTTGCTTGTTTTCTAACCCTGTCATCTGACTCCTAATGGATGATCTTCTAGTATAGATTGGGTGTTTTGGGTTTCTCTGGCTCTCAGAACTGGCAGAGAAGCTAGATGAGTCTGGCCTGGTGCCTTCCCTTGTAGGTGTGTTGGATATCTTTCCAGTGCAATGTAGTGTTAAAGCTTGCCTTTTCAGAAACTGTGTTTTTTCCGTGAAATAAAGATCTTTGTTAAAAACAATCATCATGATTCATGCCCAGTGACTGTTCTTTCACAGCATCTTGTCTTTAATGAGGGCCACTAGTAGATGTTCAGAGATAAGGGTAAGTTTAGGTTATGATTGGAGGGAACATGGTGGTGGTGTTTTCCCTGGTTTTGGTTATTTGAGGCTTAGGGACTTACTAGGTTGGAGGATACTCCTGAGTTACTGTGTTCAATAGCCCATGATAGGGATTTTGTCTCGCATAATTATTTAATGGTTGCAAATGCCCCTCCCAGAGCAGCCAGTAACTCTTAAAGTAAGCTGCTCCCTATAGTCTTGGTTATTCTTCAGGAAAAGGACCAAGCCTTGTCCCATTGCATTTTTTAGTACTTCCTGCAGAGTGGCTAGTGGACTGACTGATACTTAAGCTTTCTTAACTTAATTCACATAGAATTAATGCAGACACAAGGATTTGGAAGCAGTGCACTGTGTAGCATCTGCTCGGTTTGCCAATCCCTTTGCTGTAGGAGCAGACCTATTCTTGTCATGTGTGTTTAACAAAAAAAAAAAAAAAAAAAAAGTGTTCATAGAAAACTGGTGTTATATGGGGGCAGAGAGGAGAAAAGGGAAAGAGGAATATGTGCCCTGGCTTGGACAGGATTCTTTCCTGGCTTTTCTTCCCAGTCTAGTGAATGACTTGCTATGATACAGGGCAGCCACTCATATTTTCTTTTGCCTTGACTTCCACTGTCTGTAGCAGTTGTGGGAGAGACAAAACAGACCAAACTTGCCTCTGTCAAATACCAATGTCTTTCCAAATCAAGATGAAATACTCTTCCTCTCTGGGTAGAGACTGACACTCAGTATCTGAAACTGTCTTAAACTAGCTTAGACCTAGAAGCTTGACAACCTCTATATCTCTTCCCGCTTTTGTGTTTAGTAGAGGGAGAGTGGAGTTATCACCTTGTTTATAATGTGGTGTTCAGATTCACAAAAGTTCAGTAGTCGCTGAACCACTGCTTGCTCAGGAGTTCATTAATGTCATTAGAAGCTGAATTCTATTTTTGGAATGTTCCTCAGATCCCAGCACTTCCGTGTTTTCTCCCAGTGACTTAAAGTACAAACTAGAATTGTGCTACAGGCCTTCAGAGCATCTGAATTTTCAAGGCTTTCAGAAATGTAATATGAGAAAACTCTTTTCAAACATGTTCTGTAGGAAAGAAATTTCATTTGAGGCTAAAAACATCCCTTGATCTAGGTTTTTTGTGCTTTAGCTCATCATAGTAATGTGAAGACCGTGTAAAACAGTTAAACTTCAAAGGCTTTTCTTATTGTTCAGGGATGCAATAAAACAAATGATTTATGATGACTTTATACAGCCATCAACAATTATGAAGTTGTTCTTGGAGTAAGGACCAGTCTCTAATATCTCATTTATGTATCTTTAAGTGATTGAAATGGGGAAGCTATGAATTAAGGAATTATTTTGCCCAAATAACTTGAGACATCTGCTGCTCTGTAGTCTTGTTGTCAGGGAAGGAATATTGGATGAAATCCTATTTACTCTGTAAGTGTTAATTTGCTCTTGTTATCTTTCCATCTGTAAGCTATTCATATTTTACATAAAGTACATGCTTGTGTGGTAGGAATTAACATGCCTAGAATTATTTATCAGAAAGTTAGTGTTGATATAATTGTCTGTTCCTAAAATAACCAAGGCACAGAAGATGGAGGGGCAGGCTACTTGTAAGTTGTTTTGTACGATAGTGTAATGCTTGTCCTGCGTTAACTTCCTCCGATGGAACAGAAAACGTCTTATCTTGGTTCAGCAAGGTCTCTGGAGTCTTCCTGGTTTGTTTTTTTTTCCCCTTAAAAAAAAAAAGTCTTGTCACCTAAATATTTTATGTAAAGCTAACTTGCAGTGCATGGTAGCAGTATGTGAAACGGCTTGATACTAGGGCCAAAAGGGAAGAGCTTAAACATTCCTCCCTTGACCCACTCCGTTTTGAAGCAATGATGGGACTGGGACCATAATGAGAATTTGTAATTACTATGCAAGTAAATTGCTCTGGCAAAACGGTAGTATCCTGACCCTCAAACTTCTGTGTGGATATTTGGTGCATTCTTGAAATCAAAATAACTTACCGCCTGTATGCTAATTACCGTAATGTTAACAGTAAGGCAACTGAGGTCTGCAGTCCTCAAGGGCAGTCCTTCTTAGTGTCTAGGAGCTCCTCCGTGGCATCCTAGAGAGGTTATAGTAATTTCCCTGTGGGAATCGTGGTGCCCTTTGAATCTCAGGGGACTGGCACTTGGGGTGAATGGTCTGACCTGTTGAGTGATCCTCAGTGAGTCCTGCTAGTTACGCTTACCTGAGCAGTGTATGTCCAAAGCAAAATGGCCCCACCAGGCCTCCTTCAGCTTTGTAGATATTACTTGGGGATGTTAATAAGTTGCTTAAGACAGATGTCTTTATCAGAAGAGCTGATAGTTCAGTTGTCATGCAGAATTGACTTATATATAGGATGAGGAAAACCACAGTCAGCTGTTTCCACAGTACAGTCCTCCTCACAAGAGTAGGTGAGTGGCAGCGTACTGGAAAACTTGGTATTTCCAGGGGCTGGGGCTGGTTGTTTAGTACAGGTCAGTTTAATGTAAGTGAGCAAATTCGCCTACTTGTAAGGAGTGACCAAATGCCAATTTATGTCTAGGCTCCCTTTCTTAAAATGCTTGCAGATCTGTTTCTGAACTGGTAGTAGCTTTGGACCTTTCAAGATTGAAAATCTTTTTGTCTAGGTATGGCTAAAATGCTGCTGGAAGTAGTTCAGAGCACAGATGCCTAAACCTTTGCTCTTTTCAAAATAATATTGGAATCTTGCCTCTTTCATTCCTTTGGGGGATGACAGCCTGCTTTGCACATCAAAGGTGCAATGGGATTCTTTGTCACACATCAGAATGGACTGACATAGTGGAGTTTCAGACAAGGTGTCTAGGCTTCAGTCGAATTTGGACAGTAAAGTCCATATTGAAATGTCTTTGGTCTAGGGATTTTGGCCTTGAAATTCTTGACGTTGGGACTTTGTTCTATTCTGTACAGACGTGAGAAGAAACCCTGCTGAAAATAGGCTGTGTTGAAGAAGACAGCGATGTGACAAATATGGAGAGGGAGTAGTGAGAATAATGCTTGTAAGCTTGTGTTGTTAAAGGCCAGCAGTACACATGGCTTGATGGTTTAGTTAGCAGGCCTACCTTTAAAAACTAAATATGCACAGAACTTTTTATGATATTTAAATTCAGCAGGAGTTTGCTGTTCAGAAGACCCGAGTCTGCAGCCCCAAAGCTTAATTGCCCTTGCGTAACCATCCTCACTTCCTATGTATACAAATGATGAGGTCATGGCAGGAAAGGTTCACCATATGCATACACATGGATTAGATCAGGGTCTCTCAGTTCTCTGTTAGTAAAACACTTCCTTTTCTTACTCTTTTGTTTCTTAGTTCAGTTTGTAAGTGATCTAGAGCAGATACTTGCATGTGTTCTACTGTCTAGCGCTTAGTGCAGTTCAGTGACTTTATACTGCTGTGGTGTAAGTTATGTGCAAGTGGTGTCTCCTCATAAGCTGGCTTCTTGCAGGAGTTATAAATTTTATTTGGTATGTTTTTTCTTTTAAACGTTGAATTACAACTTGAGCACAGAAGCAGAAAATCTTAAGCACTTCTTTTAGTCTATTTCAGTCATCATTCTGATTTGTATGCTTTAAATGGGTGTTTCACTTAGTGGGGCATAGGGGGGTGGGGATCAGGACTACTTTCTTACCACTGCTTGAAGAGTTTATTTTGATAACCTTGGACATATCTAGCCCTAGTGTTAACAAATAATAGAAGTCATATCCTCTTCATAGAAGAGGTGATTTGTAGACAGAAAAGAGTTGAGAAAGGCCTATCATATTGGTGGAGTATGAACTAAATTTGAACCTTTCATCATGTAGTTTCTCAAATCGGTCTAGCTGCTTATTAGAAGGCATGTAATGTGGATTGCTGGTTCTAATGCAATGAAGTTCATTATGGACTCCAACAAAGTAAAGAACAGATTATCTGAATTTTGGATTGTGTCCTGAAGCTGGCAAAGCTCTGTGCAAAGCTGGAACGAACTGGGGAAGGCCACAGAAGTGTGGTGACAGCTTCAGTCTTCGTTCTGCTTTAATATATCAAAGGAAGCATCAACTTCAAAGGAAAAAAGAAATAGCACAAATGTTCTCTTAGAACTCACTCTGTGCCTGGCTGCCTGATTTGACTGTCCAGTCCCTGCACCTGCAGTGCAGCGTTGGTTTTGCAGACCTTCACCTGGCAGCAGCAATGCAGGGGTCCCACATGTTAGGAGTCCAGTTGTCTGTCGTGCTTGTGGTGAGATGCTGACTTTTTAGTATGGAGGTTAGGTGGTGTTAGTTGGTCTTGTTCTGTTACTTTAGTTCAACTTCTCTGCTTTAAAAACAAATCGTAAAGTGAGGTAGAAGCAACTTGGTACAGTATCAAAAAACAATAATGGATTTTATTTTTTTTTTTTGAAAAAGCAGATTAAACAAAATCTTTACTTTCCAATGCTACTGTCGTGGGAAGGACAAAGGAAAAGTTCTGAAATGTTCCTGTACCCCAAATCTTCAAGAACAAAGCTGGAATGCCATTTCCTGATTCTGGTGCCTGCAGCCAGAGCCCTGCTCTTTGTAATGCTCCACACTTCAGCCTTAAAGGCACTCTCCAGTGTCCTTAACATGCGGAGCTACCTGACATGCAGGCACAGTGAGTTGTAAAGGCATGGTGGCGTAGCTAGTCTTCACCATTACCACTATGAGAGGGACTGAGAGTACAAAGCTGATGGAAGTCTTTGGTACGTGTTGTGCGCTTTTTCCTGTCTTTTTGCTAACCTAGGACTTATTTGAACATTTGAGTCTTGGGGAAGATAGTACTTGACTAATTGGATCTTTCCTATATCAGCTTATGAGGGGGAAAAGGGCCCTTTTGGACAGGAGGACATTATGTGGATAGGCACACAAGCCGTTTGAATTGTAATGCAGAAGATAGCCATTACTCTTCTTGTGGGGTGGCAGGAAACTGGCTAGGGCAGAGTAGGTAACTCCACTGCCTGGTAGGAAAATCATTGCTTCTCTTTAAATACAGTGGAGCAAGGCTAACTTCTTGTTGATGCTGGTGTGAGTCTAGGCAAAGCCTCAGAGCTCTAGAATGACTTGTTTCTTAAGTTAAATGCAGGAAAATATGGCTTTTCCTGGCATTGGATGTGGCTCTGATCTAGATTAAGTTGCTGTGGAGCTGGAGACTAGAGCACTTCTCATCTCGGGATGCCAACTGGTAGGGTTGCCCTTCTGGTGGTTGTGTTCTTACTAGTCAGGCTTGGATAATCAAGGGCCTGTGAAACATTGACTTTTGCTGAATGTCACAGCTATTAAAATATCTAAACCAGGAGAAATAAACACGTGAGGAGTACTTAGGCACTTGTTCACAAGCTTGTAACTATCTCCAGTATCTTCTCTTATTTTTTTGTGTAAATTGCATTCCTACATTTAGCTATATATGTAAGGAGTCAGTAGTGTTAAATGGTTGCTTATGGTTCAGATGCTGATATGCCTTTTATGTTTTTAAGCTTAGAGCTCTTTATGGAAGCTGCTGCTCTTGTCTACCCTTCAGTGCTGTATTTTCTACAACACTCTTACAGACTTTCTGTGGGCTTCTTTCTCTGTCCTTCTGTTCTGCTTTGTAAGGTGGTGCAGGCAGTACTTAGACTGCTCATATTTTAGGACAAATTTAGGGTGGGTACACTGTTTCTTCCTTTCTCCTCCCTGCCTTTCCTTCTACCACAACCTGCAATTGCACAAGGAACTGTGGTGATGCCTTTTTTTTTTTTACACTGCACTTTCTGATCTGCTTCTACCTTTGAGTGACTGCTTTGATTCTGCTAACAGGTTATATTTGCCTGTGGTAAGTCATGAGCTTTCAAGGGTTAGCTGAAACAGGTTGCTATATCAGTAAGTAAAAGCTCTCCAAGCTGTTTCCTCCAACTTGCAATTTAGTAAGCATTGATTAGCATGGCCAGTTTTCACATATGCTCACCAGGATATCTTCATTCCCTATGGCAGCAAGGCCCCTGTGGGCTGTCTCTGGGCTAATGTTAGTGATGTTTGTTGCTTGAGGAAAGCTCTGAGGGATAAGAGATGTAGCACTGCAGCTGTCCCTCAGGCTGGAAAAATTCCCAGCTGCCTAGGAGGGGCAGCAAGGTAATTTCTAGAGCTGTTTTGAAGGGGGTGCACTGGAAGTAAGGAAAATGTGTAGGGGAGGAAAATCTTCCCGTTTTTCTAGTTCCGATAAAATACAATAAACTTTTTATGGGGGGGGACAAGATGTTTGAGAACTCCTTCAAGGTGCGAGTTTCTCCTCTGACTATTTAGCATATTTTTCTAATCAGATACTGTTGTCAATTGTCTGCTGTGGAGCTTTTAGGGAAAGCAGTAGTGGTGTGAAGGGTGGAAGTAGGTAAGAAGAAATGTAAAGTGTAGGGGGAGTGCCAGTCTCTGCAGCTGCCTGTGCCCCACGCTCGTTTGTTCATTAAAGTGGAGTCTGAGGGGCTTTGATCAATCAGATCATTCAATTAATTTCAGTAAATATTGTGTGTTGTCATCTGGCCATTCGCCACGCAACAATGATGCTAGTGAGCTACTGTGCTTCATGGATGCGAGGCTGTAAATGCAGCTATCGGTACTTGGGACTTAAATCTAGCACCGACTTGATAATTAATTGGGAACATGCGGAAATGTAATTGCTTGTGGCATGTGTTCTGTTGGGGTAAATGTTGGAGTACCTATCTTTTTTTCCTTGGGAAGGATTCAAAGGGTGGAAATGAGACAGGTGTCTGGGTGCCCAGAACCACATCTGTACTGGGACGCCCTAGTACTCACTGCTCAAGTTGTGTTTGATGCAGTAACAGAAACGTGAAGTAAAAGGGCAGAGGAGTGGCTGGGTGTGTCCTTAAGTCTTGAGCTTGTCTTGCTTATTGTGACAGTGCACATGAATCTGGAGTTACTGGAGCAGAGAGAAAAGCTTGCCTGTTTTAGCTGAAACAGCTACAAGCTCTCACTTGCCATGTCCATAAACTAACTTCTTTCTCTCTTCATTTGCAGTTACATTGTCTCATATCACGCAGCTGGTTCTGAGTCACAACAAGCTTACAAGTAAGTATACTCCTCATTTTGGACTTTATTACAGGCAGTTGAGCAATATTGAAAAGCTGACATTGATAGTTTGATTTTTTTCTGGGTTTTTTTGGTTTTTTTTTTTAATAGAGCACAATGCCACTGTTAAGAGTGCTTCTTGGTGAAGCACTTTTAAAAAATAAAGAGAATGAGAATGTGACTTAGCAGCCATTGTTCAACATGCCTTTCCAATTTCAATACAGATCTGCCATGTACTGGAAGATCTGTAATTATCAGTCTTGTTACCAGTTCAGCCAAAAATCCATTCCCTACCATGGCTCTGAAGTCCTTTTGTTTCAGTGAGGACTTCCGGATTTTGTTTTTTTAACTGTATCTGAAATGCTACAGTTTGCATTTTGGTAGATAGATAATTAATTTGACTGAAGCAAGTAAAAATAAATTACAACTCAACTGCATTGTATGTATAACCAAACGTATGTGAGTAAGGCCAACTGAATGTGAGCTTCAGGCATGAAAGTCAAGCAGTCTACTTCTGCAAAAAAAAAAAAAAAAAATCCTTTGAGTGTAAGTTGTCCTTTGCTTGTACTGCCCACACCACCTTCAGTTACTACGTTGTGGATCCTACTTCCCAAATTAAAGAAGCCCTTAAGTGAGGTGTTGGTGAATAACATGTCATGAGAGCAACATAAATATGAGACTCAACTTAGTGGAGGCAGATATTAGACTGACTTTTGCAAGGCAAAAGAAATATTTTTTTTGTAGGAGAATGCTTCAGGCTTACTCATCAGTGTCTTGTGCAAACGTTCCTGCTGCTTGGTTGTTGAAAGACAAGCAGTGAGCTTTATCTGGTCCCTGTTACTGTGCATCTTCTAAAGAGAAGAAAAGTGTTGGTATTGTTGGTGTTCTGCTTGTCCTTGTCTGTTCTCTGCATGTGACAGTGGATTTCTATTTCAACCAGTCCTTCCCTTTTTGGAACTGAATTTTTTAAGAGTGCATGAAATGGGGAGGGGAATGGAACCTGCAAAGGGAGCACGTGTTGATGAGATGACTGGGTAGGTGCTTTGGCATGTACCAGGCTGTACCCAAGGAAAACTCTACAAATTGAGATGGGTTTAAAAAAAACCAAAACCAAACACAAACAGAAAAACCCCTAGCAAACAAACCAATAAAACCCAGCCTACTGAACTCTAAACTACTTGCTGCACAAGCTGTAAGATGGTATGTGTTATTTAAAACATATGTATTAATGCGAAAATCTCACTTAAGGCTCTGAGCATTTGCAGAGGATTAAGCATGAGGGAAAAAATTAAAATATTCTTAGATTCTAGCACATAAACACTTCTACTCTGGATGCAGTTTATTGGGTATTAATGTGTAGCTTAAAGGGTTTGTAGTAGTATAAATAGTTAAAATTATGGGCACTATATGAGTGGCTGTGAGAAGTATGAATTAGTTATTCTAGGCCCTGCTTCTGATTGCATAGTGTCCTCTAGACTGGCATCTTGCTATTTGTTTTTGTCCCTATTGTAGTTTTCAAAGAAATCTCAGTTTATTTATAAATACGACCAGCAATTTCCAGCCATCTAACATGTAAATGATAACCGATGGGTAAATTCATGGGAAAATTCAGGCAGGGAAAATCATAAGCATCACTATTAAACACACAGCTGTACCCCGGGTTTAGAAAGTCATGAAGTTCTGAATAGCTGGAAGCTGAGAGAATGTTTTTGGAAAAAATTATGGTAAACTTGCTTTCGGCATATTGCGATCTGGCATCTGTTCCCAGCCACTGATGTAGTTGGGCTACAGGGCCACCCAGCTGGTGGCTTTTGTGTTCCCTTAGGTCACTGCAAGGAGATTTCTGTCTCTGAACTTGAGCTGTTTAAAAGCTAGGCAGTTAATTGTATCCAGCCACTTTAGCTTTCCCTGCAGCTTCTGGGGGGTTGCGGGCGCCTTGAGATAGCGGTTCATTCTGCACACCTCTATCTAATGCTTGTGGTCAGACAACGCATACAAAGTTGGGTACCTAGTGCTGCCAGGCAGAACTTCTCTCTGGTGCTGATTATTTGCTCTGGTATCTTCTGTCTGAATGGCTGCTTACCTGGCACAAGGATGAAGCAAGTTGTAAGCATTACTCTTGGTAAACTTGACTATGCTTTCTCTGGGAATTGTAAAAATCCTACAATTTCTGAAAGCTAACAAACTTCCAAGGACTTAATAATCTCTTCCACGTGATACCTTATAAATCTTAAATGTACCTAAAGGGTGAGTTCAGCTGAACACACAGCTGGCTGGGCAGGTAGCAGGTATCTACCTTGCTCTGAGGAAGAGAAGACAGGCTGAAACTCCTGCAAGGAGACTTGCATTGTGGTAAACTTGACTGTCTGAGAACTGAGCCTGGGGAGGGTGACATGCTTCTGCATGAGCACCAGAGTTAAAAGCTAAGTAACTAACCTATGTCCTAGCTATGCATCTTAGCTGTAGACCTGGCTAGGGAAGGAAAAAGATAGGGTAAGAAGAGGTGTCCAAGAAGGATGTGTTCACGTTGACTTTATTCAAGAAAAATGCAGAGTACACCTTTTGTTTAAAGCAGTTTTAGTTTTCACAATACCAGTTTAAGGATTGCCACTACTCTAAAATTGTGTTAGATTAAATCTCAACTTTTAATTACTGCTTTCTTCTGAAGTAGCCCTTAGATCAGCAGGCTGCAAGTATATCTGTTCTCTTGTTCTCAGCCAAGGGATTCTGTCAGCCTTTCTAATTGCTATGTTTGGATTTCTTTTATGGGAAGGTAAAACCACTGCTTCTCCTGAGAAGTAGCTCATCAAGTCTGTAACTTACTATTCTTTCACAAATTGATGTAGACATTTAAATAGACAGCACGCATTTTTAAAAGGCTAAATTTCAAGTTCATATTCTCATATTTGACACTGTTGACCTAATCTTTTAAGCTATGTAATTAATTGTCTTAGCAGATTGTTCTTAAAATGACTAGGAAGCTGGTGGCAGTGACACTTGACATGCTACACTAAGGTCATATTAGCATCTTCTACTAGTTTTCTGCCATTTAAATGAGTGTTCTGCTTGCTTTTTTTTCTGCTGTTTAGAGTAAATATGTCTATCTGGAAGAATAAATACATGTAAAAACTGGATATGCATAATTTTATGTAACCATAGTTCATATTTTTGCCAGCAAACTCTATTAAAAGTAAGTAAAGTTTCATTAGCAAGTATGAGGACAATACCATTAAATCCATCACATTGCTTAGAATATTTTTGTGGCATGGTTTTTGTTAATATTTTTTAGTATGACATTCATACTGTTGGTGCTTGTGCATTTACATGTCTAAATCATTCATTATCAGAAGTACTCAAATCCACATTGATTTTTCTGGAGAATTGGAGGCTGGATTTTTTCCAGCTGTCTGGTGCTGTGCTAATGGAAGATTCTTGAACTGGCTGCTTCTGCTCTAGGTAACTTCTGAAACACTTGTGTCTGTCCTTTGCTGCTTGATGAGAACTTTTTGTGCTTCAAAATCAGAAGCAAAACTCTGGGGGAAGCTGAACAGCTGCAATTCTGCAGTCTTGTTGAACCAGTTGCTGCCTAAGTGGCAAACATGGGTTGATTCCACTTTGGGGTCTCCTTTGACAATCCAGTTGAAAGCAGAGGGAGAAAGTGAGTGTGTTTTTTCTTAACTCGATGTAGACATACGGGCCAGTGTCTCCATGTATTGTACTGGGAGTTTTTTGATCCATCATTTAGTTTATTTCAAGCCTTCTATCCAGTATACAGCTCAGAAGCAAAATTAAAGACAGTCATGCTTATGTTATTAGCCTGCATAGGTCGTCTGATCCTGACCCAGGTGTCTTTTGAACCTATTGGCTAACTTCAAAATAAATGGAATAGAAGTCCTGACAAATGTTCGTCAAATTTGTGGAAATGAGTGGCTGAATGATAGAGACTTGCCCTTCAGTGTGGTGGATTAATTTGGGTAGATGTGACCAAGTTGTCTTTGTTCCATGTCATTTGATGGCAGCTGGGGGGCATACAGGTGACATTCACCTCCTGCTCAGTGGGATTGTTAATAGGACATGAATAGTGGTAGGGAATTAGGGTAGCTGTGCTGGAGGGGTATGGAGGGAGTTGAAGCCACAGGACATACTTCTGTAGAAACCATGCTTGATCAGCGTGATCCATCACAAAAATTGTTTCCACATCTTTTGTGCAACAGTAATAATTTTTATGGGTATCCATTCTACTGTTTTGTGCACTTCTACTTAGGACTGCTTCACCCAAGTTCAAGTGGAATGTAACTTCTCTTGAAGTCTGCAGCAATTCTGGGCACTTGTTCTTTCTGACACTGCTGTGTAGGACGAAAGTGAACTTAAGGTGTTGGTGTAGATCTGCGTGTTTTGCAGAGCCAGCCAGCATGTTTCCTCTTACATTGCTGTTCCATGGTTGATGCTGGGGTGGCCATGCCAGTTGCATGTTACGCTGTGCTTGGTTTCCAACAGTTTGGACTGTCATGAGGCTTCTGAAGTTTTGTGTTAAGGAGTTCGTCATAGAAGTTCTTGAAATCAAACTTTGTCCTGCTTTGTTCAAACCTCTTCAGCTACAGTTTGTGGTTTCATAATGGTTCTGGGGTACAAGTTGGGAATTGCAGAATATTGGATGTCCAGGGAGCCCAGGTCAGGGAGAGGAAAGGCATGTTGCCAAGCTTGGCTGTCTTTCCTACTCTGGGACTTGCCCCATGTCATTTCAAGCAGAATGGTTTGGAGTTCTGGGAGACAGTGTAAAATAGATGAGTGAGTATGAGGTTTTTGTTGGGTTTTTTTGTTGTTTTTTTCTATCTGGGAATGAGGTTTGTGTATCACATTGTCTTGAGGGCTTAGGTTTTTTTATAAATTGGTTGCACTAGAACACCAAATGGCTGTCTTTGACTGGAAAAAAAAGTACATTTGCAGGCTTGAACTGAAGTTGGCAGGGTAGATTAGGCTTCACCTTTTGGTCCTGTTAT